AAAACAAAGGATGGAACAAGAGAAGTTGACCCTGCAAGTTCCGGTAGCCTCTCCTGAATCTGACTCCGATTAAAAAACAATAAAAAAAGACCCGCTGCAATGTGTAAAAAGTCTGTATCTGTATGAATGTGTAAAGAAAGTGTTCTTCCACCTCCTCCTCACAACATCTGACTACCCGGCATAATTGGTGTCTGCTCCATTTTCATTTTTTATGGTACAGTAAGGTTATTTTATGCTGCGGAACGAATTATATGTTTTAACATGTATTTCTATGGGAAAATGCGTTTCGTATAACGGACGTTTCACTTTACGGACGTCACCTGGAATGGATTAAGTACGTTGTACGAGACACCACTGTATTTGTGTTTTTCAAATAAACTTTTGTTTGTCTCCTTTGTAATAAATGAATTTATCTATTTCTAAGTAAAAATTGAAAGTGTCTGTAGAAGTAATTTTTTAAAATATTCTTTTTTTGTGATAAAGTTTTAATACTTATTACTATAATCTAGACATGTTAATCCTTAAATAATAAAAGTAGAAAAAATATTATTAATTTTTCTACAGTTATTTAATCCGTTTATGCACGTAAACAGTATATAAAAAAATATAATGATTTTTTAATGTTTAGTAGAAAATTATTCCAATATTAATTAATTAAACCAGTGGTTCACAAACTTTTTCGCTTTTCGGCGCCTTTCCTAAATTCAGATTTTCGACCAAGTCGCCCTGTGTTGAATTCTAACAAGTACAATTTGCAAAATAACGAAATAACTACTATTTTTTTTTTTAATTTAAGAGTTGGGACGTTAAGTAAAAAATAAATAAAACATGTATTTGATTTTAAAAAATATGTTTGAACTAATTCAATTAATTATAATTAGTGAGATGAATGAGCCTATTGATCACCGCACATTTCCTCAAATCTTGGAATCAAACTGGACACAGACACCCTCATTTCCTTCTCCACATTGATTTTCGTGCAATTCTTAGTTTTTATCACAGCGACAAACTCAGTTTCGCACAAATAAGAAGTTGCAAATGGAATTGATTCTCTGATCATTACCACTTAGAAGGGATATTCATCTTTTACTGATATCCAAAATTCGGTTAATTACATGTTGCTAAATTTTATTTTCAACGTATTGTCGCTAGACAACTCAATAAGATTCTCTTCTTCAGCAGCAGTAAATTCAGATGGAGCATTGGCATATTGAATCCATGCAAATTTATCAATGTCATTATTTTAAAAATATCCCTGAAACCAGCTGATAAATGTGATAAATGTTCTCCAAACTAGATTTCATACCTCGAGAGAAATCAACTCTACTGGAGGTCAAAATCTGTTGCATCATGGGAAAACATTCTTTTCTTCCGTCTTCATTTATTTTACTTTTCCATAGTTTTATTTATTATTATTTTTTTTTAAATAAAAGCTGACATTTTCTCAATCCGCTTTAAAAGTTGCATATTGTTTCCCTGCAGGCAGAGATTCAAAGCATTCAGTTTTTCAAAAATTTCACATATTGCATGCTAGTTTTACGAAAAAATCTTCATTCACAAAATTTTCGGCATACTTGTGGCCTTCCTCTGTAAGAAAAATATAAATTTCCTGTCATAGTGTGAGGTTTGCCGATTGGGGAGAAAGTGTCCTGACAGTCGAGCGGTCAGCACTGTCGTGTGGGAGTAAAAAAAAAAGTTACTGAGACAGGTTCTCCATCGTATACCGTTTAATAACTATACAAATTTCTCTTACAACAAATCCTTAAAACGGCGTAACGCCTATCCAAAAGTCGAGAAATTAGTTCGTAACACTAAAAGTTCAACTGTTCCAACGGTAGTTTTTCTTTCCGGCGATGGCGTGAAGACGTCTACTCCGGGCTGCACAACACTACAGTATTTGGACCGAGGTCTTCTATCTACAAGGTGGACTTTAGCGATCTTGTTGGCACGGGAGGGTGAAGACAAGTCCTCCGAATATATGAGAAGTTCTCGTGGGAGAACGTCCGGATGACAAGAATCCTGGAGAGGAGCACCGCGAACCAAAGGCCAAGAACTACGAACCAAGAACGTCACATCCTTTTTTGCGCGGTTTTTATAAGTTTTTTCTTGGTCTCAGATCGAACATTCCGATAGGTCGATGCCGATCTGCCCCCGCTCCCTAATTGGTCCCACCTCCTCGTTACGAATTGTAACGAGATCGGAGCCCAGATCGCGGGGTGAATCAACTCCGACTGACAATTTGATTCCCATCGAAGATGTTCGATCTAAGTACTCAAATTCATCTATTGTTTCTTTCTGAGAAATTCGTTTTTTCTCAGAAATTTCTACAGATATGTCTTTATATGGACATAAAATATTCATTTCGCGTCTGATGGTTTCGTTTTACAATATAAGAATTATTAATTTTCTTTATACAAAAATTAGAATTTTTTTTGTACAAATTCTAGGCCTATTTCCGAACCCTCACAATAGTTCAAACGTACGAGACAAAACATTACCTCGAGAGAGCCAGCGCTCTCTCGTGGTAATGCTTTGTAGTTTCTTGAAGTGAGTACAACAAAGTGTTCTTGGATTCCATATCCTCACATAATTTTTTGAAAAATCTTGCTTTTAACGGCCAAGTTTTTATAAATTTTACTACATTTACTACATATTCTAAAGGCCTGGTTGAATATAGGACTCAGATATTTTGATGCGAGTACTTTCCTGTGAATAACGCAATGAGTCCACAGTGCATCAGGGTCTTTGCTTCGAAAAAGTGCTTGCATTCCTCCATAACATCCGGACATAGAACAAGCGCCATTAGTACAGATACCAATGGATTTGGTCCACTCCAAATTATTTTCAGAAATAAAAATATCAAGGATCTCGAACAAGTCGTGAGCCTTAGCACCAGCAATAATACTTTTACAACAGAGAAAGTCTTCACAATTTTAATTCTATCTATAAACTGCAGTGGAGTGCCGTCCTTGTAAGCGGTGGAAACGCCGCTTCCCATGTATTTTCTAAAATATAAAGATATATTGTGCGATTATTTTCATATAATTAAAATTAATATTTTATTATAACCACATTATGTATCTTATTACAAATTTCTATACTACATGTAAAACAAATGACAAGATTGCTGTTGTATATTCGAATATCAGTGGCGAAATGGAAGCGCTGTATTGTCGAATACGGGACAGCTTCCAAACAGCCAGATTATACGCATTCGTGCATACGCTTTACAGAGCACCAACCTCGCGGTTTAGCTAGTGGATGCCAAACACCAAAATATCGTATAACGCTTCCAATGATTCTATCCAGGACCGGTTCCGGGCTGTTAGCCGCCTGCGTGCTAGATATTTGGCCTCCCTCGCCCCATTATGTGAATC